ACACGCAGAGTAACTTTTTGTTCAAATTGCAATAGAGAGAAGTGGACTGCAGGAAAAGCCTTTCCAGCTTTAGAAAAATATAGAAACCTATAGGAGGAGAGGCCTATTAGCCATTATAGCAAACCGAGCCTCCATATACAGGAGTAGCATTCCTTGGAATTCCAGGTGCTGGGGGAGAAGCACCAAGAGAAGGCCATTCTGATGCCACCCTTTTAGTGCCCTGCTCTGCAGCTTCCTAAAAGCACCCAGCAGGCGGGATTCTGGACTAGAATCCTGAACAGAATCCACCTTGGACTAGACGCACCTTGCTCTGATCCAGCCATTAAATAATAATGAAGAATCTACATTTAGCTAAGCAATTCTTTCTCCCTTCCTTCTGCACCCCTCCCCTCCAAAATCTGATCTTAAGACACTCTCTCCCCTCTAGGCTTTCAGCTGCAAAAGAACACCACTATTATAACAGGAAAGCCTGCAATAAAAGCATGTGTGAATAGGTCACACTGCTGCTGTGGAACACACACACACAGAGGTTTCCAAATCCCACCCCTCTCCTGCAGTCAATAAGATGTTATGATGACTCCCATGCTGGTAACCTCCAATATACACACTGACACAAGTGTGTGTGTGAAACATCCCCCCCCCTTTTAAAAAAAGCAAACAAACGATACAAGGTTAAGTTATGTACTGGCCAATATCCTAGATTTTCACAGACATATAGATAGAAATGGAATGTAACCCTCCCCCTTAATAAAAAAACGCTCTTAAACTTAGCAGGGTTGTGGATCAGAAATCTTTTAGTGCAACAGCATCTTGATCACCTATCTCTCTCCCCACTCTCTTTCCATCCCAGTGCAAGGATCTTAAGCAAGGGTCAGCAAACTTTTTCAGCAGGGGACCGGTCCACTGTCCCTCAGAACTTGTGGGGGGCTGGACTATATTTTTGGGGGGCGGGGGAGTGAATGAATTCCTATGTCCCACAAATAACCCAGAGATGCATTTTAAATAAAAGCACACATTCTACTCATGTAAACACACGCAGATTCCCAGTCTGTCTGCGGGCCAGATTTAGAAGGCGATTGGGCCAGATCCGGCCCCTGGGCCTTAGGTTGCCTACCCGTGATCTTAAGCGATCCCAAGTGGAAAGGGGAGAGAGAAGGGTTTAGTGGTGGGCTGCTTGGGAAACCAAGGCAAGCCAGATTGGGAGGTGGGCAGCCCCCATATCCACAAGGGCACCTGCTTCTCCCCGGGATTTAATTTTTAAACTGGCTGGCGCGGGCTGCAATGGTGCTCCTCAGAGGCAATGGCCGTGGTGTCGCTGCGTGGGTGGTGGAGGCCGCAGTGGATGTTGCAATGGTGCCCCTTGCGCTCCCCCAAGATGGCAGTGCTGTGCAGGCAGAGTTGGCAGCTGTGACGCAGGCGACCACACCGCCTCTGCCACAGCGAAGGCAGGGGTGGCGGACATGGCGCTGGTGTACAGGTGGACCAGACCCCACTGTGGCTCTTCCGCTTCCAGGGAACACCAAAATCATCATCATCATCATCATCATCATCATCATTAATTAAAAAACCCCAAACCCAGACATTTCCTTTGAAATGCAAAAATCCACCCAGATGCTATTTTTGACATTGAAATCCCGTACATGTCCAGGTTTTCTGGGACGCATGGCAGCCCTTGGTTAGAATAGGAGATGAAAGATGAGTTGGTCCAATCAGCAATGATATAACGGGCAACAGGTGTGGGGTACAATATTGAGACGGCAGCATGGGGAAAGTTATGGGAAATAGAGATGACATTTACTGCTGGCTATTCAATAAAGGAAAAATATATGAAAATGATATATAGATGGCATTTAACATCAAATAAATTAGCCAAAATGTATAAGACTGCATCAAAAAAAATGTTGGGAATGCAGACAGACAGAAGGGTCCTTTTTCATATGTGGAGGACTTATAGAAAGGCAACAGGCTTCTGGGAAATGATACACAATGAATTTTAAAAGAGTGGAGGTTCTTTTTGGACTATTTAAGAAAAAACTACAGTCAAATGAAATCACAAGCAAGATTTTAATAATAGGCAAGGGAAGGAGAATAAATAAATGATTTCAATATAAGTTATAATGCAATAGAAAATGAATGGCAGTTATGGCAACAGATAAAGGAATACAACAGGAGTACCACAGACATTAAGGATGGGAAGTCAAAATGTAAAAAATTATTCTATTGAATGTGAATTGAATAATGTCAAATTTTGAGTAAAAAACAACTAATAACAATAAGACCTTCAAGGTACCTTTTTAACTATAATAAACAAATTTATGGTAGCATGAAAGGCAGATGTTCTGTCACCGTGGATTTCTTTGCTCCATTTAGAAGGGATATAACTCTTATAAATGGGATGCACAAGTATATATAATCAACTGGTAAAGTCTTTGGCTCTGCAAACCTACAGGCCTCTTGATGGCTTCAACATTGACCAGCTTTTGTGTCCAGCAATCCTCGCTAATCAAGGCACAGCAAGCCTTGCAAAAGAGATCTGGTTAAGCAATTATAGCCCTTGAAAGGAAAGGATAAAGTACCTTTGATTCCTCTTCAAGGGCACTTATTAGCATCTCAAAGAAGGTGTCAACTTCTTCAGCTGGGCCCATTTTGGCTCCCAAAGGCTTATTCTTCACCCTCTCTCCTCTGCTTGCAAGCAGCCCTTTCAGATCACAGCCTTCCCAAAGCTACCCCCACTCCACCCCGCTCTGCACATCTGTTTCAGAGGGCCTTGGACACAAAGGGTAGCTCAGCTAAAAAGGCTTGAACTGCAGGCAAAACAGATATTTGATCTCTGGATTCCATTGAATTAAAAACCATAGGGAGGGATACCTGTTGGCTACCTGCGCTCTAATTTCTTTTAAGACTTCCTTTCAGCCCCTAAGAGAGGACTTCCTTAAGCTTTCCTTAGTCAGTGCTCCTTTATTTCTTTATTATTAAATTGTATTTTGTGTTCTCCTTTTGCGTTTTTATGTTGTGAACTGCCCTGTGATCTTCAGGTGAAGTGGTATACAAATTAATTAATTAATTAATTAATTAGGAGCTAAATCTCTGGGCTAGGTCTCTTCAGGTCCAGACTGCTATGATATAGTCCTCTAACACAGCAATTCTTAAGTGTGCTTAAAATAGTTCTAATTAATTTAGCGAGACTGAAGGCTTAGCTTAGAAATAACCACTGCATGGTCTTTTTGAGATGTTGTTGGACTGGGCAGATATTATAGAAGCTGTAGTCCAGTGACTTCTGGAAGGTACCATATTGGCTACCTCATCTTAGTTAAATGTGCTGCAGAGGTCATAGTCCAGAGGGCTATCTATGATACTCAGTTTCAACAGATGCTGAGAGAGAGACATAGGGTTGCTACTTTGGTTGGGTAAAATAAGGGACAGGTCAGGCAAAAGATGGGACAATAGGGGTGGTAATTGAGGCTAAAAATTACTTTACATAGTGCAGAAATGGCTTCAAAGCAATCCATCACAATGAGTTGTTTCCAATGCTGGCCATACTAATAGAGTAGACCCAGTGAAATTTATGGATCTAAGCAATGCACATTAATTTTGATGACTCATCCTCTCCACCTGCTGGATTTCTGCCTGTCAGAAGAATGGTACATGTAGAAACCCAGCCAAAGAAAGGAAGGAAGAGGTGGAGATAGCAACAAATTCTGTTTCTCTTCCTAAGAAAGCTTTGCTTCCAACATCCCTTTCCATATACAGTAGCTGCTCATTTCAATTCATTCTCTCTCTCTCTCTCTCTCTCTCTCTCTCTCTCTCTCTCTCACACACACACACACACACACACACACAACATAGTCAGAGAAGTTCATCCAATCACTAGGATTACATCTTTTCTTGTCACATATTAGAGGCATTTTAAAAAGAATTCTGTTATCTATAGGCATTCATAGAATCATAGTTTTGTAGAGTTGGAAAGGGTCCTAAGGGTCATCTAGTCCAACCCCCTGCAAATGCAGGAATCTCAATTAAAGCATTCTTCTCCCAGAGATATAATGCCCAGAGACATCTGGGAAGAAGTAGTGTGTGTGTGTGTGTGTGTGTGTGTGTGTGTGTGTTGTCCTGGCTGCAGAAAAGGGCAACCAACATGATCAAAGGGTTGGAGCAACTTCCCTAGGGGGAAAGATTACAGAATTGGGGACTTTGTAGTTTTGAGAAAAGGCAAGTAAGGGGACTCTTTATAGAAGTGCATTACATTGTGCATGACATGGAGAAAAAGGATAGAGAGGAGTTTTTCTCCCTTTCTTGTAATACTAGAACTCAGGGCACCCAATGAAACCAGGGGGTTTTCCTTCTTCACCTTTTTGCACACATTAGCCACAGGGAACATGTGCAAAGCATAAACACATATGATACAAGGAAATGGAGATACTGAACCTGGACTGCAAGCAATTTGGCTCTGGCTGTTGTCACTGCAAGCCTGGCCAACTGAGTATTGTGCCTCAAGGTTGCCATCTAAGCTTGCCTGAAAATTTCATCAGCTGACCCTACAGACCAATCTTGATCAACCAGGCCCTATAAAGCTCAAGACTCAAGAGTTTGCTCTTCTGTCCAAGCATCTAGTCTCTGGTGTCAGGACAGTGCATAAGCGCTCCTGCTACCTCTCCCTGGTTTTTAAGTTATTAACTCAAGCACTCATTAAAAATACACATTTTTATAGCCTGGGTTTCCCCCCTTCCAAAATAGAAGATTTAAAAAGGAGCTTATGATGCCCACAACCAAATACACAAGATATTTAACAGCCACCAAAAATTACCAAGTTCATAAAATCCAAAATTGGCAAACCAACAACTCATAAAATTCATCCCCAATGAAAGCAAGAAAAGTCACAGAAGAAGCAAGATTGCCTCAACATATCCATACCAATAAAATAAACTCCCCACCCCAACCCCACAGCTGATTGGTAGCCAGAATAGTTATGCCACCAGCCATGCCATGCCAAAGACACTTACCGATGCAATTGAAGGACAACTCTTGACGGCAAAAGAGGGAACATCCATCTCCATTGACCTTGTTCATGTCATCACACTCTTCCCCGAGGTCCCTGAGAGCAAGATACAAAAAAGGGGGGAAATTAATGCTGTGATGGTCCAAATAACCCCTTCTGCCTCTTCTACTTCCTTCTCCCATTACAGGCTGATAAAGTGAAATGTATATTGAGGGTAAGTAAGAAAAATAAAAACATTTGTAAGGATCGGCAAATCTGTCAAATTTAGTTTCTCCTTTTTACAGTCTTAAGTTTTCAATATTTCCACATCTGTTTACGATTCTCCCCAATATGCATTTTTGTATTATATATTCATTTTGTGCACACTTATTCCTAGTATACAGGCAACAACTCATTAACACATGCCTGTAGTTATAGGCGGGAAGGGACTAGCCAGGTTTTTTGCTCCAGGTGAAGCCCCCAGAGGGGCACCATTGAGGCTCCCAGCCTGTGTTTGTGTGTGTGTGTGTGTGTGTGTGTGCGCGCGCAAATGAGCAAAGGGCTAAACTGGGTCTTTGACCCAGGTGACAAAAGCCTAGTTTCACCCCTGCCTGAAAGACGTGTGATCGCACATGCATGCATGATGCTGAACCCAGAAGTGACCCCCAAACATCACTCAACACATGATGAGAATGGTAGAATGGGGGTCGGGCACAGTGCGAAAACTGCACTGTGAAATTTGGAGAAGTGTGGATATCGAAAGCTGGCTGTGCTTGGGTTCACATATTATTTCTGAAAGTGTGAATTGGGTAAGTTAGTCTTTAATTGTGAAATGAATTTATTTCCCCTCCAATCCTAGTAGTAGACCACAAAACACTTTATTGTATAACGGACGTCTATATGTAGCATAAAGAAAACATGAATGCTCTTTTAAAAGCATGCACAACCATTTCAGCACTGTGGATCAACTGAGGGACACGTTATGCAACCTTTAGTAGTCACTTTTACAGTCTTTTTGCTCATAGATCCCAATACCCAGATTCCATCTGCAACCTTTCCTCATGGTAGTGATTGATCATTTTGGTTACCCTTTTCTGAACCTTTTCCAACTCTACAATATCCTTTTTTTCAGGTGAGGCAGCCAGAACTGTATACTGCTTCCCAAATGGGTCCACATCATAGATTTGAATAATGGCAATATGATATCAGCAGTTTTATTTTCATTACCTAATGATCCCTAGCATGGAATTTGCACAGCTGCTGAAAACTGGGTCAACATCTTCATTGAGCTATCTATTATGACCCCAATGTCTCATTCTTGTATCAGGAGGTGCTTGGACTAGATAATGTTTGAGGTACCTTCACACCTTCATTACTGCCTTAAACTAGGGATACCAGAGGCAACCCTCAGGCCTATGCAGCCAACTCTGATGAGATGATGAGAGTTGTACTCTAGCAGCATTTGATGGACTACAGATGTTCACATCCCTAGATGTGTCATCAAATCAATTTAAAAGCACCATGCACTTACTTCTGGATAATTCCATCTCCACAGTAGCCACTTCCATGGACATAGGTGAGTGGTGGAGATGTTTCGCTCTCTTCCATCCCAGAAATTACTGAAACCCAGTAAGTGTATAAGATGCCTGCTTGTATTTCACTGCAAGATAAGGAAGGAGACATTAGCCAGGCATTAAAGTATAGGATAGTCCCAACATATAATACAGGGTGCAGAATCCAACTTCCTGGAAAATCTCATTGTCCTCATGCCCTCTAACATATCACAGGTGCAAACAAAGACATTTGGGGCATCCTGATTCTCATACCAAGGCCTCCAACTCTACCATCACTGGACATTCGGGCAAATCTGTAAATTTCAATTTCAGAGGGTTTTTTAAATGCAAATTCTATGCAGGCCTCTCAGGATTGATTGCTGAACCACTCCAGGAACCAGATGAATTGCAGGAATTGCAGCTCTGTGAGGGGAATAGTTTCCAGCATTATTGGGGGAAGTCATGACTGTTTAAAGTACAGTCATACCTCTTGTTACATTTGCTTCAGGTTGCGCGTTTTCAGGTTGCGTTCCACGGCGACCCGGAAGTACCGGAAGGGGTTACTTCCGGGTTTCGCCGCTCACGCATGCGCAGACACAAAAAATGACATCACTCGCATGCACAGAAGCGGCAAATCGCGACCACACACGTACAGACGCGCAGACACGGGTTGCGTTCTGCTCATGTTGCGAACGGGGCTCCAGAATGGATCCTGTTCGCAACCAGAGGTACCACTGTAGTATGCTACTGCTTTAAATGTATAGAGCAGACGAGGGCTAAGTTTTACTCAGAGCAGACCCACTGAAATTGACAAGACTATAGGTCTACACTGAGTATGACTAACACTGAATACGTTCTTCTAGGACCTGAAGGGCTATCACATGGCAAAGGGCTGAACTTACAGGAGGAGAGATTTGGATGGACTATTGAGAGAAACTTCTTGATGATAAGAGCAGTTTGCCATCAGAAATAATTTCCAGGGCAGGTGGGCTTGCCCTTGCTGGAGGTTTTCCAGCAAATTTGGGGTGGGTATCCATCCGGGATGTTCTTACTCTGGATGCCTGACACCAAACAGGAGGTTGGAATACAAGACATTTCACAGAAGCATAGGACTATTAGGTAGCTGCCTTATACTGAATTCAACTATTGATTCATCTGGTTCAGTATTGTTTACACTGACTGGCACTGGGAAGGGTCCAGCTCTCCCTGGAGATGTTGGGGCTTGGATGTGGCACCTCCTGCATGCAAAGCAGATGCTCTGCCACTGAGCTACGGCCCCTTCAATCCTATCATACTACTGTTCTTCTTATTAAAACATGTGGCAACAGAAGGAAGCTGAACTTATTTTCCCTCCTCGGTGTAGAATGAATCTAGCAAAACAGATGACTAGAAAAGCTCACACCATTAGCATTACAGCAGGGCTGAGCCAACATGAATGAAATGTTTATGGCTAACTCTAAATGACAATTTCCCAGTTGGTGGGTATTTATATTTTTATATGAAGCCAGAGTATCTCCTTCTGATCTGTTTCTGCCAAAGAAAGAATGAATTTGAGATGCAGCAGAGAGTAATAAAATTGTAAATTGTCTCCTAGACAAAAGGAAACTGGGACAAAGTGCATGGATTGCAGTAATAGAGAGATCCATCGCTATCTGCTAAAATGTTTTTATTACAGCAAAACTAATAGCTCTTTAACAATGATATTGTTTGCACAGCAGAATTGCTCTTCTTTCTTAAAAAAGATGTGCATTGTATCTTGCAATCTGATGTACAGAGAGAGAGAGAGAGATGGATAATACTTTATGAACATATTCAGCCACACAGGACAAAATGGGTAAGGATGCCCATTCAGCTGAACCAGTATCTATTGGCCATTTGTGAGCCAGAGGGAATTTTTTTATGAATCATACGGCAGATGCAAACTATCACTAGACTGATGCTGTGTGGCACATCAGTTTGGCATGAATGAGGGGGCTTGTGGCTTGCTGCCGACACTCTCACACGTCGTGGTGCACACTGACATGTTGTGCAGGTACCCTGCAGTGTGTGTGGCGGCCACTGCAGAACTTTGGGGGCCCTAGCCCCTACACTGAAAATTGGGAGGGGCTTGGTCCCCATGGCCCCACATAGATGGTGTGCCTGATTGCAGACAAGAGTCTCTCTCAATCCTACCTAGATGTGTTGGGGATTGAACCAGGGACCTTCAGCACACAAAACAGGGGTTCTAATGGTCTGACTTATACCAAGGTAGTTTCCTATGTTCCTAAGTCTTAGATGGCAGGGCAAGCCCATTACATTGATCGTGGGGGAGGACTGGCTCCCAAGTAGGAAAGTGAGAAGAAATGTATTCTATCCCTTGCAATTGCTTGTCCCTCCTTAGAAAGACGTAGTGCATATATCAGGTTAGGGGAACCTTTGGCACTCTGGATGTTATTGAACTATAACTCCCCGTTTGTGGAGTAGACCGGAACAATATTAAAGAATATAAAACTGTGTGAAAAAAAACAGTATAAACAGTACAATGAGAATGATTGGAAGACTCGTTTTTTCAGAAGTCTTTTTTATTTAAGTGTTTAATTAAGTATTAATTAGGAAGATTGAGTTTTTTATGTATATAAATTTGCTTTTTCTTCTTTCTTTTTTCTGTTTTTTCTAGTTTTCTTTTTTCTTAATTCTTTTTTCTTTAATTCTCTTTTTGTAGTATGAGATTGTAAATTCTTTGTATAAGTGTGTAATTTAAATTAATAAAAATTATTTATTTAAAAAGAAGAAGAACTATAACTCCCATGAGTCCCAGCATGGATGGGTGGGCATCATAGTTGTGGTTCAGCAACATCTAGAGGGGCCAAAGATACCTTACACCTGCCGTGTGTGGTCAATTGCTCTTCTGGAGGTGACCTTCAATACAAAGGGATGGGTCCAACTAAGTTCTACTCAGCGTACACCCATTAAAATTAATGACTCTAACTTGGTGTTGCCCATTAATTTCAATGGGTCTACTTAGAGTAGTGCTAACACTGGATACAACCCAAAAATCAAAACAATATCTTCCCTTCCTCTCATCACAAATACAGCATTTAATTTTAAAATTATCCTCCATGATTGCTTTCTGTGATTTTTTTCTCATTTTTACTGCTCATGGCTCCTCCAAATCCTCCTCTGTCTTTTTAACAACAATAACAACTTTATTATTTGTACCCCATCCATCTGACTGGGTTGCCCTAGCCACTCTGGGCGTCTTCCAACAAATATAAAAGTGCAATAAAACATCAAATATTAAAACTTCCCTATACAGGGCTGCCTTCAGATGTCTTCTAAAAGTTGTATAGCCCATTTATTGGTCTCTTTCCAAGTGAATTCCTGACATAACTTTTTCAGTAGACTTCCATCATCTAATCATTCCACTTGACCTAGCCATCTTAACCTTTCTGGCACAATTAATAGACCTGATTTTGTTAACATCCACCCACTGCACACTCAGCCAAAGCGAGCACCCCAGAGATGGGGCTTAAAAACAGGTTCTAAGGTTCAGTTCCGATTTTTTTTGTTTTCCTAATGAGCATGTACCACCAGATTTACAGATTAGCATCTCTTGCAGGCTTGTGATCAGTGACAGAGTGCCATTACTTCTTTACAGGGCAAAAGGAAACACACCAGTCTGTGGGATCCAAGCATGCGATCTGCTGTTTGTGGAATTCCTTCGGGAAAGCTGAAAGCTCAGTAACAGAGCACATGCATTGCATGCAAGAAGGTCTGAAATGTCAGAGAGCCCCTGCTTTACATTGCAGCCATGGAAAAATCAGTAGTTCTCATTGCACATCCACACAAAGAAGCAAGAGGCACTATCACAGTTCAAAGACACATTCCAGCCAGCCAAAAAACACTCAAGGAGCAGTGTTAGGTAAAGCCTAGAAAGGAGGTAAAGAGTCCTAAGGGCCAGATAGAGAGGCTTGGAGGGCCACATTAATCCTCCAGGCCTAAGGTTCCCCACCCACCTCAAGCCTTCACAACACCTAGGAGATACCCAATATGAAATGTTCTTATCTCCTCCCAGTCCTGTGCAAGGATGGTATAAACCAGGTGTCTGTGTAGAGGAACAAACTGTAGTTTGTCAAAGAGGGGGAAAGAGAAGTGCGACAGAGTCACATTTCAGCTCTGTAAGCTAGCAGCATTCTGGGACAGTGGCTGGTACTTTCTAGTGTTCTGATGTGGAAGCCATGGACTCTTGTGCCTCCACCGACACTCACAACACTCACATAACTGTATATTTATAAATAAAATCAGGGGCCCTCCAGACTGTTTTTGCTTGCTTGTTTGCACCATGACACTGATGCAATAATGATGCATTTGTAGTGGATTCATACTGGACCATCCACATGTCATTCTGCTTTACTTGTTGTCCTGTGATACTTCCCCAGTGTTCCCACACTATCACTGTCAAGAGGGGCACTATTGCAACAAAAGTGGGACAACTCCCTGCCCTGAAATATTTGTAGTATGAAATGTCGCAGAATTTCATCTGGAAGTTATGGGACGCACATAAGTGAAGCAGAATGTCCTCCTCAAAACTTTTGCAAACACCAAAAGCATTGAAAGCAGGGGAGTGTCTCACCACAGTGGCCGCCTTGCAAAAGAAAGCAAAACCACATTCATGCTGTGCTGTTTGGAGAATCTCACCTATCAGAGAAGTGGCATGAGCACTCACATTATTGTTAACAACGAACAAGTGTTGCTCCATTCTTTTCTGCATCTGGGGAAAATGTCATTACAGGGTCAAAGTTGCGTTCAATTTTGCGTTCAAGCTTCCAGCCTGCATCAGAGACTCTGGGCTCAGGGAGTGTACGGCGCTTTTCTCCCTCTGCTTACTATGCCCCTTTCTCTAACAGAGAGCAGCGGAGGGTGGTCTACTAGGGCAAATGGGACATTGCCTCACCAACTTCAGTCTGCCTGCAGCCAGTCCCCACTTGCCTGTCTTCTTCCTTCCAACCAAGACTGATACACTGTTAGTGGATGGTTCCCTAGACCAACTGGGTGGGAGGTTGCCTGCTCTTGATGGGGTTAGACTCCCTCTAAAGGAGCGGGTATATAGCTTGGGGGTCTTCCTGGA